AACAACTGGCAGGTTTCTGTTTTTGTACTATGTATGGAATTGAGCTATGTATTATAATATAAAATGTAATAGCAACGAAACATTGTAAATAAGTCTAATGACGAAGTAGTCGACGAAAGTTTATTTGTAATGTCTCAGTTGTAACTAACAAGTACTGTATTGTAAGAAGTAACGTAATGTAAGTAATAAAAGTAGTATGCAATATAAATATTTTTTTAAACAAATAATTAATTAAAAAAAAAAGGTAAAAAATGTATGGAATCTGAAATTCGTTTATTTCTCTTTGATGATGTGCTAGTCGATATGGCAAGAACGCTTTACCCAGCAATTTTTTTCTCGTTTTATAGAGGGCGCGTTATTTTCTCCTGTTCCCACCGCTTGTGTCCATTCGTTCGCACTCGTCATATTTTCCAGCGACTGAGTTTTATTGCCCTTGCGCTTTAGAAGATCTGTCAAGAAATTCTGTAAAAGACAAATTACTTTGCTCTTGTAACTTGTTTTATCAACTACGATGATAAAGCACGGGACGGAAGAGACGATAAGCTGTAAAGTTGGGCCGCCATTTGAACTGATTAGAGAGGACGGACAGTCAAAAACTAGGGACTATTAATAACGACAGATGACGCAGTGATGAAAGGAGCTGAAGGATAAATAAAAGTTTCATCAAAAGACGTGTAGTACCACATAATAGTCACAGACTGATACAGTTAAAACAGTATCTGGTAAACGCCAAGCTTATCAACAAGCCAATTTAGGTAGCACTCCTTTAAACCAAGCTAAATCCGGACTTTGCGATCGGTTAATAAGATTTCCGGCCCCCTTCCACTTATGACCAATCTCCGATTGCAAACAAAAACAATCCACCTTCGAGGGCCGATCGTTCCGGTTGAAACCAAAGTTGGCTTTAGATTTTCGTTCCATTTGAGCGAACATGTTCCAGATTACATCACCTAGTCACTCAGCTCGCTCACTTGAGTTGAAAAAAGTCATTCCCAGGCCCCTTGCCGTTTTGGCTCGATCGTCGGCTCTATCCTTTTTAGATTTTTGTTCCACCCTCCATGAACATTCAAACAATGTCATGTGGATTAAATAAATCCGAAACTCGATTGGCTTCAATTTGCAAGGAACGTTGCCTTAGCAATAGAAGTAAAAACAACTTACATATATAGCAGTGACTTGGAAATCAGATCTTAAACGTTTCGCAGAAGTAATGAAAGCCCAATGACCTAGAAAACTACTTCTTTTTCAAAATCAGTTTAATTTTTTCCCCTCCCGGCTGCGTTTTAGAATATGAAACAATTTTTGTTGAATTTAGGNTTTGCAGAAGTAATGAAAGCCCAATGGCCTAGAAAACTACTTCTTTTTCAAAATCAGTTTAATTTTTTCCCCTCCCGGCTGCGTTTTAGAATATGAAACAATTTTTGTTGAATTTAGGGATTTATTGTAGAGCGTTCTCTGTCTCCATGTTATGATCAATTGACACCTGTCAAAACAAGATATCCGCTGACCAGTATCACGTGATCATATTGCGGGCTCAAGTTTACAGCTCATCGAGGCGCGTTTTTTTGAAGTTGACCGCTGACCAAGTGCTGGTTTTCGATTGGATCGCGGGCTCATCTCAGGTTAACTTGTTCAAAATAGGGGAGGATTGTTCGGAAACCGGACGCTTACCCAGGATTAAAAGTTAACCGAATTATTACTTTTTCTTCTATACAATTTTTTTTGCTGCTTTGTTTTGTGTATATATATGTTATTTGCCGGCAAATAACATGTTTATTTTTTTTTCCTGCAGTAAATTGGTTTTACAGATTACAAATGGGTTTGTT